TCTCAAGATTTTTATTGGCATGGTAATAAAGCTTTTTTTATCGCCGAAGCTTTAATAAACATTACCTCCTTAGACCCTTTTCCTTAGATCTATTCATTTTGGTCTAGCATAGTGGACGCTCTTTAATTAATTCCTTTCAGATAATTCATAATATAGCCTAATATAAATGAAAAACACACGCTTTGTTTCTTTATTGGTGTTATATAAAACATTTGAGCTAATATATGATGACCATGTTTAATAAAATAACCAATCATTATTGTATAATAGGTAAATAATATTTTCGACATGTTTTCTATTAAATCTAATACAAAATGTAGAACTAATTGTGTAATGATACTGATATTCATATAGAAACGTAATATAAAAGGAAAAATTAAATTAAATTCAAAATGCCTCATGGCTTTTGAATTCAAAATTTAAAAATAAAGGCCTATTTACGTGCAAATTACATTGAATTATTTTTAAAAAAAAATGTCAGCTGCATGTGCAATTGATTGATATTTATTTTTAATTTAGGCTATTATTTTAGTCAAAGTATTTGATTTAATATGTCCGAATCAATCAAACTAAGCATCTAACTAGGACAACAAACGTCATTTTAGATAGTATTCAGATAAAGTTTCTCAGTTACTTTTTTTACAGTGTGTGTGTGTGTATGTGTGTGTGTGCGTGCGTGCGTGCGTGCGTGCGTGTGCGTGTGCGCGTGCGTGTGTGTGTGTGTGTGTGTGTGTGTGTGTGTGTGTGTGTGTGTGTGTGTGTGTGTGTGTGTGTGTGTGTGTGTGTGTGTGTGTGTGTGTGTGTGTGTGTGTGTGTGTGTGTGTGTGTGTGTGTGTGTGTGTGTGTGTGTGTTATTTGCGCCTGCATGTGCACTTGCTGAGGCAGATACATTTTAAAAGGGCCTTTTATTTGTAAGTATAGACCATGAAGTAGACCTATATCATAAGAGGGTTTGAATTTGCCATATTTGCATACATTTTGTTAAACTATCTATATTATTATCTTCAGATTCCATGTCCATTACAGTTGGACTTGACTAATAATCTGATATTAGGCCTACATATAGAATAACCTAACATCAGATTCTCATCTTAATGGTTAAAAATGAGTTAGATTTTTATTTATTCTACCCTTGTTAATTAATATTTTCTTCTGAAAATACACCTCTTGTTTATGTATGCATTCCAAAAATCAGTTTTAATGTTAGTAGCTGAAATAGATGACCACTAGATGGCACCTGCCTAAAGCTGCACTGCTACTCAACACGAGCTCCAGAAAACAGCATTGTGTAAAAGCTAAATAAATAAATAAATAAAATAAAATACAAAACAAATTTATTTTATTTCAGGATGACTATTATCATTATGATTATTAATCTCTCAATAAGCAGCGGTTTTAATGTATTACAATAATATTGGTTTATTAATTTGAACTTGTTTTTTTTAGTAAATAAATGAGCAAGTTTATAGCATATCTATTATTTAAAATATTTCATACTCTTTTCATTTCTGTTATTTTATATGTCTTTTGTCAAATGCTTGACAGATTTCAAGGCATTTGAATAATGTTTTGTCAGCTGCATAAAATGTGTTTCATATGCTAATATCTAAAAAATATATATATAATTTAGGTATTATTGAAGTCAAGACATTTGATTTAATGTGTATGAATCAATCTGACTACATTAGGCAACACCAACAAAAGTCAGATATAGTTCCTCAAAGTCACTTTTTACTGTGTGTGTGTGTGTGTGTGTGTGTGTGTGTGTGTGTGTGTGTGTGTGTGTGTGTGTGTGTGTGTGTGTGTGTGTGTGTGTGTGTGTGTGTGTGTGTGTGTGTGTGTGTGTGTGTGTGTGTGTGTGTGTGTGTGTGTGTGTGTGTGTGTGTGTGTGTGTGTGTGTGTGTGTGTGTGTGTGTGTGTGTGTGTGTGTGTGTGTGTGTGTGTGTGTGTGTGTGTGTGTGTGTGTGTGTGTGTGTGTGTGTGTGTGTGTGTGTGTGTGTGTGTGTGTGTGTGTGTGTGTGTGTGTGTGTGTGTGTGTGTGTGTACATTGGGTTTCCTAAACCTAAAATCTAATCAGATTGTATGCATAGTTATTCCCAAAACACACTCAATGTTCCAATCCTGGACCACAAAAACAAACAAATCTTGTAATGGGCAATTCATGGACAGGCTACAAACAGTATGTTATTTGTTTGAATTTATATATATATATAGTACCGGTCAAAAGTTTGGAAACATTACTATTTTTAATGTTTTTCTGTATTAATGGTTCTGCTCAGCAAGGCTGCGTTAAAAAAAAATCAAATATACAGAAAATGCACAGTATACTTATACAATATAGGCTACAGTAAAATTGTGAAATATAATTTCAATTTAAAATAATGATTTGTTACTATTTATTCCTGTGATCAAAGCTGTATTTCCAGCATCATTAATCCAGTCTTCAGTGTCACATGATCCTTCAGAAATCATTCTGATTTGATGATTTATTGTCAATGTTGGAAACAGTTTAATATTGTTTTTTTTTTTTTTTTTATAACTTATGAAACTTTTTCAGGATTCTTTGATAAATAAAAAGTAAAAAACAAACAAACAGCATTTATTTGAAAGAAAAACTTTTGTAATAATATACAATACCGTTCAAAAGTTTGGGGTCAGTAATTTTATTTTTTCTTTAAAAAAAGAAATGAATACTTTTATTCAGCAAGAGTGTGTTAAATTGATTAAAAAATGTGATAGTAAAGATTTATATTGTTAGAAAAGATTTCTATTTTGAATAAATGCTGTTCTTTTTAACTTTTTATTTATCCATGAATCCTGAAAAATGTATCACAGTTTCCACAAACACAACAGCACAACTGTTTCCAACATTGAGAATAACCGAGCATCAAATCATCATAGTAGAATGATTTCTGAAGGATCATGTGACACTGAAGACACACACACACACTCTCTCTCTCTCTCTCTCTCTCTCTATATATATATATATATAGCTACATATTATACAAATTAATGCATATAAATAGGCCTAACAATATTTTTTCAGATATAATATAATTTTATTATAATACAAATATTATTTTACAATATTATTATGTATAAAATAGCATGTATAATTATGTATATTTTCTATAAAACACATAAAAAGTGGACGTTTTATGCAGTAGCAAATGAAACTGTGATTCCCCTTGTCTCGTGCACGCGTGTTCGTGCGCGTCCGCGTTCTCGCCCTCAGCATGTAACAGTCACACAGTAAAATCACATTTCCGGGTTCTTCATGACCGCTCCCATTTTGTCTGTGTGTGTGATTTGTGCTTCGGGTAAAGCGATTAGGTAACTCCTCTTCCTCCTCCTACAACTACAACTTTCATGCACCCAAAATGGTGTTTGAGTGTCAGCCCTCTCTCTCCTCTCTCTCCTCCTGCCAGCAATGTCAGCTGATCCCGCATGTTCACCCCCCAGCCTTCACATTCACAGACCGAGAGCAAGAGCATCACCCATTAACAATTGCATTGTGCATTGATTCTTTCAAACATGTTTACATTCGTTTTCAAATATAAAGGACATCATCTTTTGCAGCAGATCCAGATAAAACAGGCTAATATATTAATATGTTAATGCGTTGAAATTTTTACATTTGGTTCTTTATTAGCTATAAAATCTCGCTTACAAAAAAAAAAAAACCCGATAACCTGCTTACATCAAGCACTGGTCATTTTAACAGATCTAGATCAATATTATAGCATTCTGCACAGTGCGTTGACATTTTAGGATCGTGCTTTGAAATACACAAATAAAACTGTTTATTTAAACTGTATGAGCAATGCAAGATAAATTAATATTTTAATATGCATGCATTGATTTCGCAATAAAAAGCTCACTTACTAATACATGCACTGAATGATTTATTAAATAAAGATCACAATCTTAACATAAGCATTATGGTGCTTTGATGTATATAGTCAATGCTCATAAAACAACATATTTGCATGCAATATATTATATATATCATGTAAATATGTTGTTTCATGATCGAGTAACTATTTACGTGCCTATATTTACGTGAGTGAGCAATAATATAAGCAAATATGCACAGTAAATGCGCGCACGAGGCAGATATTTGAATGCATTTTAAAATGGATTTATAACAGTGCGCTTTCTGTCATGCAATAAGCGTGAAACAGTCCAGCTGATTACTGGAGAATAATATGGTCGCTTTTGCAATACTCCTTTGTTTACATGCAAGTCCTCCCGTTCGGCGGAAGGAGGCTTTTTGGTAGTGCAGGGCTGTGTGTGATTCCTACCAGCTGTTTCCCGCCTTGAAAGACATCCGATCAGCTGCAAACACACACACACGCGCACACATGCAGAAGGAGGGAGGGAAAGAGAGCAAGCGAGCGCCACACACACACACACACACTACGAGGGAACCCCATCAGCTGGAAGAGTAGAGTAACCTTACAACTCAACACTCATCTCACGCGCTCATGCCCGAAATCAGCAGAACGCGCTTCTTATTAAATGACAAATAGACGGTTTTGTTTTTTAAATCAATAAAGTACAAGAAGAATCGAGGAGCCCGAGCTGGAGAGAAGAGGGGAAGCATGGAGTATTTCATGGTACCAGCTCAGAAGGTGCCCTCCTTGCAACATTTCAGGAAAACCGAGAAAGAAGTCATAGGGGGCTTGTGCAGGTACGTGAGACCCTCTTTAAAACCATTGCGCTCGAGACGCACACATATGTGCGCGATTGTTTAATCGCGCGCCAACAGCGGCAGCACTACTACTAGAGTAACATGCACGCATGATTTCTGTGTTATTGTGTACATGCGCCCATCTAGTGGGTTAAGACAGGACGTAACCCGCGCGAGACTCGGCTTTCTGAATTTAATTCACCTCCACGGGGTCTATGGAACCCCCTTGGCTTGTCAGGTCAGTGTTACCTGTGTAATATCAAGGCGAAATCGATACATTTTGTGTCTAACAAACACAAACCACGTGGTTGCATGCACACACACCACGCTGCTGTTCTCGCGCGCGTGTTTAATGTTAGAAACCGCGCATATTTCGGTGCACACATGAATCAGTCGTCATGCATAGAGGTTTATAGGGTAAAAGTGTGTTTGGGTTGAAGTTCGCGTGTTCTGGTGTGTGTTTTCGGGGCTTAAGTTATTGTGGGCAGTGCGGCCATGCTTGTGGCTCGTGCATTTGGCGTCGTCTGTTTCTCAATGCAACTAAATGTTAAACGTCTCCGGACTGCCATTGCTCACGAGTGTCTCCGATATGAGGTTGAAATAGGCGTAACGCGCGAGAAATCTCGCCGTGCGCGCGGTGTGAGAGAGATCAGATGATATTTGGACTCTGCGTCGCTGCTGCCGCATGGACGGAGGAAGCGCGAGAGCGAGGCGCATTGTTGTAATGGCGGACCGTGTCAGCTGTGAACACGATGTTTTTTATTTAGGCCAGCGACTATGTTGGTTAACTCGCTTGATATTTTAGTTTCGGCCCACTGTGAATTAAATGTGAGGCATTTAGAGGTTAGTAAATTAATAACTGGTGTTATTTTAATAAGGGGGTGTGTATGCTGTTGAAGGAAGGCCCCGTCAACGCATCTGCGATCCATTCTCAGAAGGGGGCGGGGCCAGTGAACCGATTAGCGCAGGGCGTTCTGGGAATTGTAGTTTTCCCTCCGATGTCAATTGGCATACAAATGATGTCTTCAAAGGGGTGGTTGTTCACGGTGAACTTTGCAGCCCTTTTTACAGGTAATTCCATGTTTCTTCAATATATATCAAACGAAGGCTTCCAAGGTACAAATAATACACAATTATTTATACAAAAGTCCGAAACACCAAGGTAGTAGCCTACATGTTGTTACCTTTTGTTTGTTTATTTGTTTACAGGGGCAGTGCGTATTAATAAACATGGCTGTAAATGTGCCAGAATTTGACACAAATGCTATTTTTCATCTGTAGACCCTTGACAGACTGTTAAAAAGTCACCCTTAAAACAAGACAAAGCATTAATACAGGTTGTTATGGTGGTGAAATTGGTGGTGAAATTATGCTAGTTAAAGTATATCTTGTACGCTGGCTATTTTATTTTTTATGTTTAAGTTGTCAAGCAAAGGCAATTATTCCTTCACATAATTTCAAAGCGGTCTCAAAACAAAGTCTAGTTTAAACTGAGGGATGCATTAAATCATTGTTTTTTTATAGCATTTAGTTTGTGTGTTGTGATTTAACTCCCAGACAGATGAGAAGTGCTCAGTACAATTTTAGGAATTCAATCTTGTCATATCACTACTATTATTGTATGATGAAATCATGAATTTAAATTATTATTATTGTTGTAAAGTTATGTTATTTTTATATATAAATTTATTTTTACAGTTTTAATTCGACATTTTATCGATAGCTTTGCATATTACTTGAAGTTATATATATATATATATATATATATAATTTTTTTTTTTTTTTTTTTTATTATTACTATTGTAATGGGAGCTTTAATTATACCAGTGCAAGTTCTCTCGCCTCACACTGAAATCCAAATTCTCTTCTGACCGTTTAATTTTCATGCATAAAAGAAGCTGGGTCACATTCATGTGTACGGCTGGGAACGGCTGATCTGACCGTATCTCTCGGTCCACTGTTGGCTCTTGTTGTGATTTTGGCATGGGATCTGTTTGCCGGGTTTTGAGCCGCTTGGACGTAAGGAAGCGAGCAGGGAAACCTCTCTCTCGCCTGCACAATTGTTCCCCGTGTTTGTCCTCACGCAGCTGAGGCGCTGCTGATAAGAGAGGCTTTCCAGAGATACCCCGTGAGATGCCCAGACAGGGAGGAAGTTCAATTAGGGTTTGATTTCCTCGGTCAAAGCATGCGTGTGATCGTGTGAGGCAGAGATTTCCAGGGACTTGAGTTTAGAGACAATGGACTTGAATGAGCATTCAGGAAAGTCAATATTTTCTACTTCGCACTCTAATGTTTCTCTTTTCCATTGTTGCATCCCATTTTATTCAACTTTTATTGAAAGTCAGTATTTATTACTTCACACTCTTATACTCTTAATGTTGCTTTCTGTTTTAGGGATGTAAGCAAGGAAAAACACTTGGCTGTTTTATGTCAGAATGTTCATTTTTAAAGAAATCCTTTAACTTTATTAAACTTTTATTGATTCCGTGTTTAAATTTAATTCCAAAACAAAACATTTAGCCAGGTTTCCTTAACAAAAAGTACTATGAAATAAAACAACAACAACAACATTGTAATGGCACAATTGGTATTGCCATGGTATTCTTTGAAGTAAATTACAGCATTATTTAAATAACATAATGTTTCAATATAGTAATCAAACTACAATTTCTTTAAGTGCTTTATGACCTCAAAGGGTTAGTTCACCCAAAAATGTAAATCCAGTTGTCATTTACTCACCCTCTTGTCGTTTCAAACCCGTAAGACTTTCGTTTCATCTTCGGCACACAAATGAAGATATTTTTGATGAAATCTGAGAGTTTTCTGAGCTCAGTTTTTATGACATCAACTTTAAATTTGTAACACAACTTGGTTAGACATATTGCTGGTTTCACAGACAGGACTAGGAAACTAGTAGAAACTAAAGGTCTAATCCAGGATAAGCCAGGATTAGACCTTAGGTCAAATAAGGCATTTAAGTGGCTTTTATAAACGTGCCTTAGAAAAAAAACATTACTGGTGTGAATCTTGAGACAAAACAATGGCACTGACATATTTTAAGAGATATCAGTGCAAGATGCTTTCAGTTAAAACCGCTCAAACATGCATTTTAGTCTAGGCTTAAGCCTTGTCTGTGAAACCAGGGGTAATAATATAACTTTTTCTACACTTCCATTTTTTGAAGTGCTTTCACTTCTGCAATAATCTGCCGAGTGTCTTCTTTAAAAAGAGTCCAAAGCATTCACCATTTAAATTCAGATCTATGCTCGAAACGGTTAACGGGTCAAATGTAATATTTATACCGTTTTAATTTTCATGTAATATTTATACCTTTTCATTCATTTGAAGACTAAAGTGCAGTATAACATTTCTTCTTCACAGCTTAGCAAACATTCCCCTCACGCCAGAGACGGCGCGGGACCAGGAACGGCGTATTCGGCGGGAAATCGCCAACAGTAATGAGCGCCGGCGCATGCAGAGCATCAACGCTGGCTTCCAGTCCCTGAAAACACTCATCCCGCATAGTGACGGAGAAAAGCTAAGCAAGGTGAGTCCTGGGAAGAGTGGGAAAAATCAAGTGTTGATCTCAGTGTGGTTCTCTCAGAAATGACAACACTTTTACTCGCCCTCATGTTGTTCCAAACCCAAATGAGTTTGAAGCTTGAAGCAAGGATTGGAAAGCAGTCCATATCACTTACAATGCTAAATTGCAGAACTTCTGAAGACATCTGATAGTTGTTTGAAATGTTCTCCTCCAGTGAGTTGGGATTGAGTGTTTGAATCAGATCAGTCCAATGTGTGAATGAATCATTCAGAACGGGTTTTGTGAGCCAGGGCTGTTTTTCCCAAAAGCATCGTATGTTGCCATCGCCACCAATGGTCTCTACGATTATCTTGGCTTACGATGCTATTGATTGATTGATTGATTGATTGATTTGTAAGTGTCATTTTTAAGAGTCATCTTTTTAGAGACCTTTCAAAACTAGTGGCACTTTTACTCACCCTGAATACGTGGTCCATTCATGTCTTTTGAACCCATTCGATAGCTTTTTTTTTTTTGAAACAGACTGAAATTGAAGTCATTATTTATTGCTAATCTTCCCGTCTGCTTAATTGCATTGGAACATTATTTTCTGATTAAGGTTAAACAGGTTTGCAAGAGCATGCAAGTAATGACAATGTTAATTTTTGGCAGTGAACGGGTAGCAAACATTCTCATTTAAATCTAGATTTGATCTCTGCGTATGTGCCAGCACAAAATTAAAATGTTAATGATAATTTTCATTGTTTTAATCAAGTTTTTTTGTGTGTGTTTTTGAAAGAAGTCTCTTCTGTTCATCAAAAATACAGTAAAATAGTGGAATATTACAATTTAAAATAAACAGTGAATATATTGTAAAATTTAATTTATTCCTGTGATCAAAGCTGAATTTTCAGCATCGTTACTCCAGTCTTCAGTGTCACATGATCCTTCAGAAATCACTCTAATATGATGATTTCAAGAAACATTTCTGATTATTATCAATGTTGAAAACAGTTGTGCTGCTTCATATTTTTGTGTAAACCCTTTTTCCAGGATATTTTAATGAATAGAAGAAAGAAATTTCTAACATAAATGTCTTTACTGTAATTTTTGATCAATCCGTTCATTCTGAAAGCATTCTTGCTGGATAAAACGATTAATTCTCGCTGACCCCAAACTTATGAATGGTAGTGTACTTCTAGCGTCCTTCACATTTGACCAGTACATGGATGTAATATGATCTCTTTCTCTTTCTCAGGCTGCCATCTTACAGCAGACGGCTGAATACATCTTCTCTCTGGAGCAGGAGAAGACACGGCTGCTGCAACAAAACACCCAACTCAAACGCTACATACAGGTGAAGCTCGTGAAAGCGTCTTCTTCACTGCATATCCTGTATCTTCACTCCTCTCACCTTTTCCTCTTCCTCCCCTCAGAAGGAGTTCAGCGGCTCGTCTCCGAAGAGGAGGCGCGCCGAGGAGAAAGATGAAGGAATCGGATCCCCAGACATTCTGGAGGAGGAGAAGGTGGAGGATCTGCGGAGGGAGATGATCGAACTCCGACAACAGCTGGATAAAGAGCGCTCCGTTCGCATGATGCTGGAAGAACAGGTATATTTGTGGCCATATCAGTATTGGGCAATGTTTGCTGCTTAAGTTTTATCTAAAGCAGCAAACACACACTGAACACATGGTGAACGCGCACTGCTCCGGGTGTGTGTTCACAGTGTGTGTATGTGTTTGTGTTCAATATTCACTGCTGTGTGTGTGCACTTGGATGGGTGAAATGCAGGGCACAAATTCAGAGTATGGGAAACTAGGCGTCACGTCACTTTCACTTCATCTGTATCAGTCTGAATTAGTACATGTGGCAACTTAATGGTCTATTTTTATCGTAGCGGTCAAGTAAAAAAAAAATCTGCTAGTGTTAGTAGTTTTTATTGTTGTTGTTTTATAAATAGATATCTATCTTATTATATTGGTTATCATATATCTGTGTATGTTGTTGTTTATTTAAAATAATACTCTCTCTATCATTCTCTGTATATAAATATGTATTGGATAGATAGGTAGATAGATATAAATATGCATAGAAAGATATATATATATAGATAGAAAAATGCATAATAGATAGACAGATATAAATATGCATAGATGGATTGATAGATAGGTGGATAGATAGATAGAAATTTGCATAGATGGATAGATGCATATATGGATGGATGGATGATAGACAGACAGATAGATATATAGCAAGAAATACACACACACACACACACACATATATATATATATGAAGAGTTTGGTTCCAAAACGCAATAAATCCATTTAGATTAATTTGAGAAAAGTGTTTTCTTTACCAAGAAAGTGGAAAGATGAAAACCACTATTTTCTGTTTCAAACTTTCACATAGCATTTGTAGGTCATAACAAAAAAAAAAAAAATCCAGGTTTTGATTTTCAAAGATTTATTATAAAAAAAATTTTCCCCAAAATGCAATTAATCCATTGAATCAATATAAGTTTTTTTTTTCATATTGAAACTGTTGAAAACAACACAACAACATAAGTTTATTAGTATAATATTTTTATGGATCCTCCTCCCGAGTGCCTCATCTTCTTAATTTCCTCACGTAAATGATTCGATTTCGATGCCTTACGTTTCTTACCCACCGCAGAAACAACCACAGGTTCATCAATGCCGTCAAAATTATTCATTTTTTTGTTTGTTTGTTGATCGAAAAGTACAAAATAGATTAGAAAAACCAGGAAGCCGGGAATATTTAAGGCACTGCCGTTACTGTTTACATTGCGTGGAATGGTGCGTTGTGATTGGTTGAGAGCGGATATATCGCATTCTGCAGAGAAGGGAGACTGGCGTTTGTCGCGGTTTGGAAAGAAAGGGAGAAAACATGACAGAATAACATGGCGGATATCGCATTTTACTTAAAATTAAACATTGACTTTTTAATACCAACCAAATACAATACTGATTTTTGTAGCAACTAATTTTTTTTTTAGAAATGGCGTTTACTGCGTTTAGGAACCAAACTCTTCTTATATATATTTGCAATCTTATTGGCTCAAACTTAAAAAAGGATATGCTCAAGAAAATTGTAGAAAATGTTGTATCAAGTCCTAAATGAATTGTAAATACCTTTTAGCTTAATTTTGATTAAATGCCATCTCCCATTACAGAGGGTGTTCTCATTCATAATAGATTTTTAGTATTTGACAAATTTCAATAGAAGTCATTAGGTGCAGTTTGATCCGTCTCTCAAAGTTTTGCTCGACTAAATCTCTTGCGTGTCTGTGTATTGATCGTGGCCCGGTGCTGTAGAGTCGTCATCTGTGAAATCCGTTATCAAACTTTTCTTTTGCTGCATCAGTTCGCTAAAATTAGCTCGCTTTAGTCTTTGCATATTTAATGAGATTTCACAGAAGGTGCACAGCTCCCCTGAGAGCACGAATCGTTTCTGAACATCACACTTGAAGTGCAAATTAAACCCCAATCTCTGCTGCTATCCATGAAACTCGCTGAAGAAACTACCGCAGGCAAAAAACAACAAAAACAAACGTCTTAGGAGGAAACACTGCTCTCCTATACCTTCTAGATATGTGCTGACCGAGGGTCTCTGTGTTTCTGTTAGATCCGTTCGTTGGATGCCCACTTGTACCCTGAGAAGCTAAAGGTGATCGCGCAGCAGGTCCAGGAACAGCATGTGCAGTCGCAAACTCTGCTCCGCCTTCAACAGCAGCAGGAACAGCTGGGAAAAGAGACCAGCACCCCTGCGCGCAGCCCGCTGGTCAGACAGACTCGCTTTCTCGCTCTTATCACTGATACACTAACACTGACTGACAGACTAACCGTCATTGAAGTACGGAATAAAAGAGAGGCCCTCAGTTTTGCAATGCAGCTTGTCAACTTGAGTTGATCTGATGTGATGATCCACTAGAGGGCATTAGAAGAGTTAAAGACCACATCAAATGACATTTTGCAAGCCATTTAACTTCTATAACGTGACTGATTTCTGAGTGACGCAATATTCATAATATAATAATGTAGGGCGGGACTTCATTTTACCCATCATGTAGTATTATTTCTGTCCTTTTTTTTAGTATTGTTTTTATGTGAACAGAGAAATATTTTACAGTAGTGTTGAGAAGTTTTGGGTCTGAGATTTCATGGACACAATAAAATCATAAAAAGTGACAGTAAAGACTTTTACAACATTGTAAAAGATTTGCGGTTCTTTTGAACTTTCTATTCAGCAAAGAGTCCTTTAAAATGTTTCAATGCGAAATGTTTATTGAGCATCAAATCATCATATTAGAATGATTTCTGAAGGATCATGTGACACTGAAGACTGGAGTAATGATGCTGAAAATTCAGCTTTGATCACAGGAAAAAATGACATTTTACAATATTATTTCACAAAACAAATGTAGTCTTGGTGAGCATAAGAATTCTTTATGAAAAAAAAAAATCATACTGACCCAAACTTTTTAAACTAGTGTAAGATTTTTTTTCTCTCTTAAATGAGCACTGCTGAATTGTGCACAATTAGACCATAAAAATATAAGTAAATGTATGCATGAATAAAGTGTAGGTTCTTAGTTAATGGAAAAGTCGTCCTTAATTTGTTGTCCTGCTTTATTCGTCAGGTGTTTTCTCCTGCCACGCCGCCTGCACCCACTCATCACGCCACAGTAATTGTACCCGCCCCTGCGCCGCCCCCCCCTCCCCATCATGTCACCGTGGTTACCATGGGCCCCGCCTCCGTGATCAACACAGCATCCACATCACGACAGAACTTGGACACCATTGTGCAGGTAAAACACAAGTCTACCCAGCTCCAGGAAAAAGTCATGAATGAGATTTAACTACTTATATGTGGCTTATTGGCCATATATGTTTTCACAGACACTAAGGAACGGCACCCGAATCCATTTAAAAGTGAGTGCAGCGCTACAAACAAGCATAGAAAACCTGGAGCTTTTAAAAAAAAATGCATTATGAATCACTTCCATTTATTTTATTTTTTTTATCAGAATTTTTTTTTCTCCCACATTATGCAGTGTTGTTACTTATCCATATTGGTAAACGGTTGTCGCTCAGACTAAAGGCCCCGATATACTCACGGCAAAGTTCTTTTTCGTTCTTCGTTTAGGGGTAAATCGAAGTTCAAAATACGTGAGCGGCGATATACTGTTATCGAACATCTGACACTGCTGAGAAAGTGTGCTGCACGCTTTCCTCTCAATAACAAAATAAACGCACAATAAAATTGAGAAAACAAGCATATATTCCCACTCAACAGGAGAAATTAAAGGGAAAACATTTCCATGTGATAGAAGGTGGAGCCTCTGCACAAACCTACCTATTACCTAATCGCCACAGACCAATTGGAGTACAAAGGTGTTTACCAGCCGGAGCGAACTCCCCAAACAAACTTCGTTTTGCCCTGATTTTGTTGGAAATGACGTCACGACAGTTCGTTCTTCAACTCCGCTTGAAGTATATCGGGGGCTTAAGGATGTGCAAAACTATATATTTATGAATCATTTGCAGCAGGGTTGTATGAACCAACTGAACAATTTGTCTGCCTAAAAGTAGTTCAGTGATACCAAAAATTAAAAAAATGGCAGTGACTGAATGCAGTCTTGCTGCTTTTTAGTAGAGTCAGTGTGTTTATTTGTTAAATATCTGTTAATCTATTTTATCTTCTTTAACTCTTTATTGCACACAACCATTGTAAACCTCACAAATAAACTGAGCCCTACAGATCATGGATAATAACTGGAATATTCCACTCAGCAAGTGATTTTGTTAACATCGAGTGATGTTAACCAGTTTATCTATTTCATGTAGTACACTTGCTAATATAAATAGTTTTTTTTTTTTTTTGAGAAAGTGTGGGAATGGCACCAATTGACGGGTCTTTGAGGCCTATTAGAGCGCTGTAGTGATGACGTATATTTGTTGGCCAACTTATCACCCTGGTTCCCTTGACAAAAACCCAATAGGATTTTTCCATTGGCCTTTGGATTATTGCAGAAAGTAAGATCTCTGTGATCAACAAATCTTTATGATTCTTGCAATATTTTTTTTTGTTCATCTTGATAATATTCTCAAATGAACACAACTTTTATGAATTTTGAAGCCTAAATGCAATCGTATTTAAACATTTGCTAAATCGAATGACTTCAGCGTCACCTTTACTAGGCTTCCAAACAACTCTTTCAGTCTTTATTTAAAGACTTGGGGCCAGTCGTGGCCTAATGGTTAGATAGTCAGACTTGTAACCCGAAGGTTGTGGGTTCGATTCTCAATACCGGCAAGCAGGGAGCAGACTCTCAGTACAGTGGGGGCGGAGCTTCATCATGGGGCCCTCTGCTACCAAGTCATTTTAAAATTAAAACCGTCACTGCTGGCGAGGGCCCCGTTCCTGTCCAGTGACGCAAGATCGGCGGCGTTTGAGGGACCCCTAATTGGCACGGGGCCCTGGGGCGGCCGCACACAAGCACCCACGCTATCTCCGCTACTGCCGGCAAGAAATGTCTCAGGTGCCCTTGAGCAAGGCGCCTAACCCCCAATCACTCCTTGGGCGCCACAGCAAAAATGGCTCCCCACTGCTCCGGGGGTGTGTCCATGGTTTGCAGTGTGTGTGTGTGTGTGTGTGTGTCAACTACTCGTTGCTCCTTATGTGTGTGCATTTACTTGGACGTGCAGAGAACAAATTCTGAAAAACAAAGTATGTGTTACCATACTTGGCCTTCATCACATGTTACTTTCACTTTAAAAAGCATCTCCTCTGAGTTATAATAGTTTACAAGAGCGTGATCATAAACACCATGAGGCTGTAAAGCAAACTAGTGAGTAGATGAGTTTGCCTGTTCGACAACCTCTGTAGTTACAGTTAGCCACTTGCTAGCACATGGTGGCATTGGCCTACTGATGTAGTTTGTCGTAGAATAAAAAGTGAAAATATCTTAAAGCTGAAGTCGGCAAGTCTGGCAGATTGAGTGGACTTAGGCAAAATTTTGAATGTTTACAACTCTCATGCCCCTCCCCCACTATATAAACCGATACCCTCCCACCGAGTTCGTGCTCGTCAGTGCGTGTGCACTGTGAACGCACCCGTCTCATCAGCATCCATCAACACCATGGAGTATTTGGAGGTATGCTGCCCTGGCTAATCTACCGATAGATTGCAATTGCTAACGTCATTTATACTCTAAATGAGCTTACTTGATTTGTTAGTGTTTTGAAAGCGAGATACATCCTCCATCACTCTTTGTAACTGCGTGAACTTCCGACGTATGTGCATGTGATTGTAACGTGCGCCCGATCTGTGATTGACAGTCAGATCTTACACCCCCCTGCGCTGATTGGACCCGATGATCCGGGAGCTGTGGATTTTTGCAAAACAAATAACAAGCTCCAGGTGGAGTTAGAAGCTCGGGTTTTTTTCTAAAACCACTTTATTTATGTTGTTCTTTCGGATCATAGTGTCGATTTCACTGAATATGATAAAAAAAATGTTGCAGACGGCAGCTTTTAAGCTCGTGTTAACCACAGTCCGTATTTCAGGGATTCAACCAAAAACCCATTGACTTTGGGATGATTGAATCGCCAGTGCTTTGTTTCTGGGGTTTTGGCCTACAAAAATACGTCATTCCTGCAGCGCTCGATTACATCCTGTGCAGCTTCACACCTCAACTAGTCTGGCCCGTTTTAGATCATAACAAGCAACTGAACAGAACTTTGGCAACTAAACAGCCAAAAACATAATAAATCCAAGTCACCTTAACAGTTTCGTCCTGTTTTCCCGCAGGCTATCCAGCACATCGAAGGCACACAGGACAGGATGGTCGTGCCCGAGGAGGAAAAGCGCCGGGCGGTCATCGTCACCCCGGGCCGCGTCCTCACAGACACCGGAGACTCCGACACCGCCTCTGACAACGAAGGATCTGAGGACTGTTAACTGCCCCGGTCACCCCCATCCCCATATCCGCCCCACATGTAACCGGGGGGCACGGCGAGGGGTTAGGGGGTCTGTGGAAGGGCCTCCGCAGAAATACTCTTTCTTTCTCTCTCCTCTCTTCCTGTCGCTGTCTTTACACTCGCATACGGGACTCACAAAAACTCAATGACTTGGAGGTTTTTTGGGGGTGGGGGGAGGGGGTAAAACTAAACAAAAACTGAAAGATAAAAAAAGAAAGTTTACAGGAAACGTGCCGCAAAAACAGAACGAGCACGTTTATGTATACTCACACAGTACACTATAACTCCATAGCACTCTGGTAACTTGTTGATACATTCATGTGATACAGCTCTTACTCATACTCCGTCGTCTATAGTTTCACCAACGCACGCTCCCAGGTTAGCGATTTTGTGAGGGGAATCACAAAATCTGTCGGAATCTGCCACAGGTCTTCCAGGCCTCTACTTCATCACTTCCTGTTCTCCTACATCACTTCCTGTTCTCCTACATTCTGCCCATAAGAGGGCAGTTGAGTGTTCTGATTGGAGGAATCCCATTTCTGCGCTACAGGACGTCTCATCTCTCAAAACAAACCATTTGCCCCACTATCCCGCTCTGGCTGCGTCATATTCCTCTTTCCGTTCTGGGGAGGCTTGAAGCATCACTGTGAGCCAATGAGACTTCAGAAACCTGTTCCACACCATGGCTTCCGAAAGTTTAGAGGAAATGTTACTTTTCTTTTGACTTTTTTTTTTTTTGGCGTAGACGCGCCTCTAGTTTTCCCATTTGCTGGTGATTTGTCAAGTTCTCAATAGCGTGACAATGACTGCCACTGCTCAGAGGGGCTTTGTATTGCGCGCACTTTTTAAATTACGCAAAGAGGGGGGACTTTGTGCACTTATTGTCGCTCACCTTTACTGGGCTGGGTTCCCAGTACACACGTTGGTGTAGGGTGAAGCACTCCCTCCGTCGCGTCCAAACACCCCCCCCCCCCCCCCCCCCCACGGTCCTGTCCTTAAAGTCGTAATTTCAAAATTCTGGCCGAATTTTTTTTAATGTCGTTTGTATGTCAAATGAATGGAATAAGCTAACCGCCAGGTACTCGTACCTGCGAGGAAATTTGTGTCGCTTTTAGCACATTTGCTAATATAAGCGTAAAGTTTTTTTTGTTTTTGAGGAAGTGTGGAAATAGCACTACCAGGGTTGTCGTGGCCCGATTTCAGCCTATGCAGCTCTTTTGGTTCTCGCCCCCCCCCTACTGAGAGGAACTTCGTGGCCACTTTGGTCTTCTCCCAGAAGTATTGTCATGTCCGTTTGCCGTCCAAGTCGTGTCAGGTGCTCTCTGCGGCGTGAGAGTGACTAGCCCGTAATCTTGCGCTCTAGCTCTATGCACTCTGCTCGCTTGAATGTTTTAGTTTCCCTGTATTTCCTGGCGTTCGTACGCGCCACAGATAATCACATGGACAGCAAGGTGGTGCTACTCCTGCTTGAACTCTCCAGATAAGCCAGGGATGTCCAATCCTGCTTGTGGAAGGCCATTGTCCTGCAAAGTTTAGCTCCGTTCCCAATTAAACACACCTGAAACAGGTGTGGTATGGGACGAGTTGGAGCTCATCTCAGCAGGACGTTTGCCCTCCAGGACCAGGATTGGAGACACCTGGAATAAGCCATGCGATACTGTGAACTCTTCATGCCCCTGGTGGGACTGAGAGATGTATCCCGTGCCGAACAATGGCCAGTGGCTTGCCTTAACTCAGCTTCGGTGTGCACTGTGAGGCACAGAGGCCTGCCTTAAGCTTTTAGCCCTGAAGATGGAGCTAGAGAGTGAGGCGTAACACACCCCGTGTTCATCTCTTCTCGCAGTTGATGTTTCCAAACATTCCAGATCAATCTACCGTTGTTTTGCATTGCGTTGCCGGCGCTGAAGTCGGCAAGATTTGGCCATAGAGGAAGATGAGAAGTGTCTCTTCTTTTTTTTGCATTCGAAAGAGTGCATGTCCCCCTTCCCTTGTGAAATATTACAGGGAATCTTTTTGCTGCTGGACAGATTGTGTTTTTTCCTTCTGGCTCTGTGGACCTTGTCATTCATATTGCGGTGAAGACTGCTGGGACTCAGGGCTTCCAGAAGAATGGGATGATCTAATATTGGCAGATTTAGTTTTTCTCGCGCTTTTTATATTTGGATAATGGTTTGCTTGGGTCATAGAGACTAGTGTCCTGCTTGTGCTGTCTTTTGTTTTTCACGTTACGTCTGTAATAACGGTTTTGTCTTTGCGAAAAAGTCTCTTTCGCCCTCCCGCGTTTGAACATTTCCTCTACCGAAGCCACAGGGTGTCTTTTTTTTGTGTGTGTGTATTTTCTACTCACAGAAATCACTGTAAGAAAATCCTGAGGACATATCAGAGGTTGGGTGTGTCGAGTGAAACGGGGGTGATTTTATGAACCTGAAGCACTTACTGTAGTATAACGAGGAGTGACTCTTATTTTCAAAGAGATGTTCTCCTCGACCGAAGCTCTTCTCGCTGTGATTTTTGAACCACACGGCTGTGTTTAACCCTCAACGTTTGTCCTGGCACACCACATGTCCTCTGGGCCGTCTCCGCAGTCTCCAGACTTGTCCTGTCTCTCATCTTCTCCCTCTTTTATTGTCTGTCATCTCTTTATTTTTTTGTTTCTATTTTTGTTGTTTCTCTTTATGTGGGACAGTCAGTCCGTTTGGTTGAGAAGCTATTGTATTTTTTTTTTAAACTGGGGAAAAGAGGCTTGTGCCTTTGTAAAAACAGAATAATAAAGTTTGTACTTTGTTTTTTACAATTTCTCTGTGTATTGTGTAGTTATTTATTCGTCTTCTATATGAATTATGGACTGTCTGCATTACACTCACGTTAGTCATTAACATTATAAAAGGCTCTGTAAAAGCCGTTTTTTCTCTGAAGGTTTTGGTTCCTTGCCACTGCCACTGTAAGAAATGTAATATTCAGTAATGTTATGGATTTAACTGCACTGATACTATTGGATGAGAACACAATTTGAACTGAATTGAGTTGGATATAATAACACTAATGCCTTCTGTAGATCTGCTTTTTTGCTGAAATGGAGTTTTTCATAACTGATGAATTTTAATACAGCAAATGCCCATTCACACCGATAACGATAAGGTGACAGAGAAACAATATAGTTGGAATCACTTTCACAATGATTTTTTTCCAGCTGATGAACAAAAACATTGACAAACGGCTGTAGACAAACGCTTATAATAAACAACATTATTGTGCGTTTAAGTGGATGATAATATAGTAGTTAATTATAGTTCTCATTCTTGGTCTGATCATTCTTATTTTACTGTGTATTAATTGTGAAGCTGCTATTTTATATATATATATATATATATATATAAATAAATGACAATGTATCGAGTAACAAATCATTTCAACTTTAACATTCAAAGCTATATTTTTAAATATAAGAGACGTGTTGCTGTGGCATTTGGGTGCCTCACAAATAGAAAGACAAGCTTATTTCTGTCGGGTTATTCTGACTACTGGAGTGTGACATACGTGAGCAAAGATCATAAACCCTGAGAGCTCGAAGAATGTTTCATGATTCCCTCGAAGATGTTATCGTGTATTGTCACATCTAAAACTATACCAATTTGGTTTCGCTTGCATAGTTTTCACTCTTATTGCTATAGTGTCTGTTTTGGTTTTGGTTCTGACAGTGTTAATGCACAAAATAGTATCACTTTAAAATGGTTTAAAGGTGTCTTTTTTTTGCAGTCCAGTGTTATTGCTGTTTTAGTGGTATGTTTGTTTATTGGGTGGGTTAGATAAGAATTGAAGTTTTGGTTTCACTTTATTGTTTGTGATGGTCCCTTTAACACATTCTGTTGACTAAGTAAAGTTGCGCCTACATGTCTACTAACTCTCATTAGAGTGTTAGTAGAGTATTAGTAGACTGTTAGGGTTAGAATAAGTTGACATGTAGTTGCGAAGTTACTTATAGTCAGTAGATTGTCTATTGGAGGAGCATCACAATAAAGAGTTAGCAGATATTAAGCAGAGAGTCTACTAATACTCTAATGAGAGTTAGTTGACATGTAGTTGCAAAGTTACTTATAGTCAAAGCCAGGGACCATCAAAATACAGTGTTACCCAAGCTTTATAATCTATCGTGTATCTAAAACTAAAAATGAATAAGCCATTTTTATTTTTAGATAGTTATGGAGTCCTAAAATACTTTTTACTTTTACTTAGTAACTTCTTTCACCATGTTTCTGGTCACAAAGTTCACAATGAGCATGTCTGGAGAAGCGTAGGATATAGGAGTCATGCAGTTCAGTAGTTTTTAACTGTCTTATTATTAAATTGCTCATTTACAATGGATTTGCATAATTGTTCTTAATCCCAGACTCCAAGCAACAGAAACAAGCACCTGTTTCCTTTCACTTTTGTCTTTTACAAATGAATTGTGCGTGTACATTTTACAGTGTATTCACGGGATTAAAGAAGAGAGAGTTCATGTGCCTGTGAAGTGCTTGAGTCGGTGTCTGCGGTGTAATGATAAGGCGTTAATCTCCGCTCTCCGAGGAAACGATGACGCCGACTTTTACACCTTATTCCCGACTGTCAGCTCCTGTAATCCTACCTAGCACGACAGCCAGTGACTTACAGCGCCGCCTCGAGCCTGTGATCGGGTTAGTGGAAGTTCGTTAAACAGGACAAAAGTTTGATGACCAACAAGCTGTTTTAATCCATACTTCCACGTTAATTGTGATTCAATTCCTTAAACGACTTCTTTAGAAACGTGGAATGCCGTGGCACAAATAGTGTTGTCTTGTTATACCTCTTGTACATCATTCCTTTTCAGTTGCCAAAATCAACACCAGCTGATGTACCCGAGCGCTGGTTTTGACGTCGCTACCGTGACAGCTCTGCTAAAAGAGACAGTCAGCTGCTCTGGTGCGCCTTGTTCCCGACACCTATGCTACCGGCCCCCTCCATATAGTCCCGTCTGTAAGACCACCCTCTCGCTGGCGCCCTCTGACCTTCTCAGCCTGGTATATATAGCCAGACCGGCGACCAGAGGTCTCCTGGCAGCCAACATGAAGGTCTTAGTCTCGCTCTGCGTCTTTGTGCCCCTGCTGGCACTGGCCACAGCAGGTAAGAACATTATACTGTTTGCAATAGCTCA